TCATTTGGCCTGCAGAACCCCTATCACCAGAGGTGGTGTAGAAGAAAGGAAGCATCCATGCTGAGTCTTGAAAACCACCAAGCTGAGATGATATGATGGGTCTAAAGGTTGTCTTATTTGTAAACAGACGTTATATGTGGAGCCTTATGATGGGATTTTTTTTTTTTTTCCCCTCAGGCACTTTTTTGAAAAGAATTGCAAAAAACGGGCAGTTCACAACAGACCAAGTTATAAACTAGCATTTTTCAAAATGGTAGCTGAGATACAGGCGTGTGAAAACATGCATAGGCACCTAACTGAGTGGTCTGGCACCGTAGTCTCATGTGATGGAGCTAAAGCTGCTTGACTTTTACTTGTAAAGTGAGTTGTAACAGCTTTGTATTCTCTTCTCCTCAATGGCAAAGTTAAGCAAGCAGGGAATGTATTTTATCTTGCCACTGGAGTAGGATAAGGACATGTTAAGTGGACAATTACGATGACTCAAATGACAAGAATTAGCTACTACATTAGCCCTTTATATCTTGCCCTGCCTCTTATTTTCAGAGGGTTGATAACCTGGTCGCCCCTAGCCAGGCTAATTGTGTATGAATCTGAAGACCCTTAGTTTGGGTACTCATAAAATAGAAATGATACTTGCTAATGGGACTTTATGCACATTTGATACTGTGCTATTTTATCATTGCTACCTTGTCAGCAGAAACAGCAGGTGATTTTTCAGGTCCCCTCAGCAGCGTGCCTCTTTTTGCCATCAGTCCTAGGAACCTTGGAAGGGTGTGTGTTCGCCCTGTGTCACTGTATATTGCTATATCTGAGTTGCAGCAACCGAGATACATTTGTGCTCATTGCAAATACTTACAAAGTAACATGGCATAATTGTCCCTCTGCAAGCATCTCTGTCTAAACTGTTGTTTAAAACTGCCAAACACATCTTTGTTCTTTATTAAGACTAAGGCAACAACAAAAATTCTGTAGTTATCGGGAGATAATCATTCCCCAAGGGCATTTGGAACACTTCACAACCAAAAGGTTGTGATTACTCCACGATTGCTATACTGCTTATTATTCCTTATTGCTTAATTATGGAATCAGAGTGTGTTTCCTGGATGCCATCTAAATAAGATTCTCCACTTCTCATGCTCTGCTTCAGTGTTCTGTGGACTGGAAAGCTTTGTAGTGTTTCAAGATGATGCAGAGGAGAGCAATAGGGCAGGCCAGTTAGGGAAGCTCTTCTGACCTTTGGGAGACCAGGGCATTCAATCTGTACCCTGTCAAATCCTTGCTGAGAGACCTCAGGCAAGTCACTCAGCTTCTGAATGCCTCAGCTCTACACCTTTGTTCAGGTGCTACCATAAATGAGGCTGTGTATCTAGAGTAGAAATGATATAATGGACTTCATCCTGATCTCTCAATATGGATTCAGGCAGTGTGGTGTGAAGACCCTGACTTTCTTTTTGGTGTCTGCACATTCAGCCTGATTATTTTGAGTGGTATTTGGTGGAGTGCAGTGGCTGAGGGTCACTGTATGGGGGGTGAGAGTGCAAAGGAAGAGATTTAATGTCTTAAACCAACCAAGTTGACAACAGGGTTAAGACTGGTTGGCAGCCAAAAGGGTTGTCCAGCACTGGAACAGGCTGCCCAGGGAAGTGGTTGAGTCACCATCCCCAGAGCTGTTTAAAAGAGGTGTAGATATGGCACTTAGGAACATGGTTTATTGATGGACTTGGCAGTGTTAACAGTTAGACTGGATGAACTTTGAGGTTTTTTCCAACCTAAATGTTTCTGTGGGTCAATGAAAGCACTCCACCCGATTACACAAGACCCGTGACTGGAGCACAAGTGGTCTGGCTCCCAGCAGTGCTGAGAGCTCAGTTGCTCTTGACCAGAGTGAGTCTCTCAGACAGAGACCACAGCACTGTTCCCATTTCCTAGGGTTCCTTCAGATTTACATCAGGTGAAGGCAAGCTGCTGCAGTTGGTGCTTGCCAGGCTGTGGTGCTGTAATGCTGGTGGGTCACTGGGTTGGCAGCAAGCCCACCCGAAACAGGCCTGTGATGCTCCTGTGTTTCAAAAAGGCTTCGATGTCACCACTCTTTGCTGATTCAATGGGTCTTACATGACTTGCTGCCTTGAAAGGCAATGTACTGTTGTGGTTACACATTGAAAAAGAGTAGACAGTGTGTTTTTTTCCCGGGCTCACTGAGCCTAGAAATGTCCCCCAAATAACTCATTTTGTAAAATCTTTGATTTAATGCTTTGTTGAATCGTGTAACCTTACTCTAAGGAAGGGGAAAGCCATCCAGCATGTATTTTAGCCTTAGCCCTCGATTTTTTGAGTGTATACATTCAGAGGAAGATGAGAAGATGGATGATGAAACTCAGGTTTCTAAATCATCACCTAAATTTCCAGATGAAACTCCTGCTGAACTTCATTCCTTGGACTTGTTTTTGAAAACTTGAATAAGAAAGAGACTTAGTGAAACTCCCTTATTATTACAAGGTTGGCATAAAGTGTACTTAATGAGATGCCTTTTTTGGTAGCACTTGATTTTTAAATCCCCCTTTTCATTCCTGAAATCCAAACGTTAATAACACCTTTCATTGTGGCTCTCTCTGCTAGTGTGCATCTTCTGTCTTCTGCAAGAGGCTGCATGCAGTCCTGCTAGCAAGCTCTTGTGTCATAAAAAGAATTTGTTCAGGAAATAAAAATGTATTGTTTTCATTGTTAGAGGATGCTACCAAATTGGCTGTATGTTTGTCTAATAATCACATCTAGAACTGATTATTCTGGTAATAGCCTTAAGATATTATTTAAAAATAAATATATAAATGCACTACTTTTGTACTAATACTAGTTTTTAATCTCTTCTTGTTTCTATGAAGTCTGAATGAGATTTTCAAAATTGAATAATAATTTGATCCGTTAATCTTTTGAAGCTAGTAATTTTATTTTCCCCTCTTTGCAGTCTCTGAGGCTCGCAAATGAATAGAGCTTCATTACTGGAGTCTGCATTTAATAACCATTATCCATTATCTTGTAATTAAGACTCCCTGTAACGAATCATGAGGACAATGCAAAAATACATAGTACATTTCTTTAATGAACTGGAAAATGTTCATCTTGTTCTATTTAGTAATGAGTTGCTGAATAGTCGTTAAATCCACTGGAGAATAGAGCTAGATGGATTTTGAAGACTATCTTGAGTTTGTGGTTAATCTATTAGAATTAAAATTTCATCTTCTATTTTTATCAACAGCTGATTAGAAGTCATTCTGTTTGACCAAATTGATTAGAAGACCATATACAAGGGCAGCTGTTGTTTAATGAAAGTTTTTAATGAAACTGTACCATAGAGACTTGTAATTATAAGACTTATAAAAGCTTTGACTTACCTTATAGCAGAAAAAAAAGAAAAGTACTGCACTGAAGGACTTTAAGTGCTACATTTCAAAAGGGAAATTAAAAATATAATTTGGCAATGTTGAAGTTTCACTTCCACTGCTCCTTGTTTTAATGTGACTATCAGATGTCCGTCGTGTCTCTCTGGAAGGGAGTAGCTCTGAAATGTGTAACTCAGTTGTCTCTCCTGTGTGCTTCGTTCTTTGCAAAGCTCAATCATCTAGTAATTGCCTCTCTTGCACATTGCACATTCTGTGAAGTTAGAATGTTTTTCACAAATAACTGTTTTTCCTTAGAATGGAAATTGTCACAGGAGGGTGCGACTTAATCAGCAGTGGGCTGAGTTGGTGCCTTGTCAGGAAGCCCATAGAGAAAACCATGGTCTAACAAAACCCAAAGTTGGTGATGCCATTCTATTATGTTTAAATCACAGGACACAGAAGCATGCCTGGCTTTGTCTTAACTTCCCATCGGGCTGGGACCCAGCTGTGTGCCAGTCAGCTGTGTCCTCGGGAAGAAGGCTCTCCGGAGTGTGCTGCAGCACACTGTCAGAATGTAGCCTAGGCAACTCTTCAGTTTGAGCCAGGAGTGAAACTTCCCTTCCTTACTCTAGGGGATGTTGTAGAGGCATCATCACTCACATAAGAGGCAAAATGGACCCTAAGCCAAATTTGAAGTGGAAGCAGATGCAGTTCCAATTGACTTAAGTGGATGATGCACTACACAGTGTTTGAATTATCCCTCTTCTTCTCCCAATTACTTTTGATAATTAATGATCCCACAGTACACCTTTTCTAAGAAGTAGGTTCCTAGGGATGAAGTGTGTCCTAATGAAACGAAAGAAGTTTTATCACTGTATTGTGTCAATGCACAATCATACACTGCAAAGCACAATTTTTTTGGTAGTTTTTTAGCTTTTTGTTTTACTGTACTGCAGGATTCATTTTAAGCCAAAGCAGAGCAAGAATACACAAGAATGTTACTCAAGTATTAAGACAGGCAGTGGAGAATATTGTTCACAAGTGAGAAACCAGAAAAAAGTAAACTAAGGCTAACTTTTGTTCTTCGAATAATACACATTTTGACCTTGTTGCTGCATTGTGTCAGGCCATGGCTAAGTAGATGCAATGTAATTAAAAAAACTGATGAAAATAATTTCTGTTCAGAAAGATCCTTGTGGAAATACTAAAAGGTTGATTTATATGACAGATTTTTTCTGAGGAAATAATTTCCCTTGTCGTGATTAGTCAGACACATTCCTATTAATGTATAGGTACAGATATACTGAGTGTCTGTACAGGAACATGTATTATGTTGGACTGTCCTGAAGAGATTGTTGGTTTGATAGCTCGAGCAAATAATTAGGAGCTGGGATGTTCATTTAGCCTCTGGGATGTCTGACTTACTCTGAAACCATGTGGGTGTAATCCTCCTCCTCTGCCTCGACCAGAGCAAGGTTAGCACCCACACCACAGGGACGTACATGTAAAGGAATGCTTCATAATGGCTGTGAAGCAGGACGACATCTTTGGAGGGTGTGAGCTCTCTGTGTGCAGGGTGACTCTTGTTCTGAAGCTGCTCTAAAGCTTTTTACTTCCTTTCAGGTTCTGATTTTATAAAGACGTCTACAGGAAAGGAGGTGGAAAACGCAACCCTTCCAGTTGGAGTAGTCATGATGCGAGCCATTAAAGAATACTACTGGCAAACTGGCAACAAGGTAATTCTCACAATCTTTATAAAAATTAGCCAAACAAGCTCACTAAGGAGGAAGTAACAACATAATAGGATTTATTTGCTAATATTTGTATACTTTTTTTTTTTTAAATGCACTTTTGGATTTTCTCCCTTGAGTAACTGTTACTTCGTTCCCTGAAGGATCGTGCAATCTTAATGTGTTGCCTGCTGCATTTGAATTTGAATTTGGTTTCACCATTTAAAGTATTTAAATGGTCATCTCCATTAATAACAGGGCAAATCTCAAGCTAGTAGTGATTGGCCAACTCCCATAAACCTCAGCAGAGCTATACAAATTTAGAGCCATTGAGAGTCTGTCCGGTGTGCACAACTGTATTTTCTGACTTTGTTCTGGCAACTCAAGGGATAAATTTTGCTCTTTCCTCCCTAGCCAGAGAGGCTTTCCAAGGGAGATCCAGTTGTATCCTGTTGCCTGGGATGGAGGGAAGGAAGGAGGGACAGGGACTGGAAGAACATTAAGTCCTGGTACAGAAGGTTTATCTGTTAGGTCACTGTTGAGTGCTGTCACTAGAGAGAAGAAGCAGTGAGGAGCATATGGCAAAGATAGTGATGAACTGTTAAAGCATCGAGAAAGGAGGAGGTTAACAGGAGAGCTTAAGCCACCTCTCATCTCTCTTATCCACAGACAAGTGGGGGCTGCCAGTTAGATCTGGTGCTGGAGTTCAGCAGTGGGCTTTGTCCGCACCTTCAGATTCAGGGAAGGGAACCATGTCTCTAGCTGAGAGCCTCTCCCTGTTCCTGGGCTACCCTTCCTTCCTCTCCAGTTTATCCTTCTATGCCTTCTGCAGGTGGCCTTTCAAGGTACAATGTCAGGACACGGGGTGAGCAGTGGGATAGGGTCTGAAATGTCTTCAGGGCCTGTTGGAGCTTGAGGAGCGCGTGACAGCAGGTTAGATGTGTGTCCACCTGCTTGCTCTCTGTAGTCATCTAGGTGAGGCCAGCATGGATCCCTGGGCTGTCCTCACTCCTCCCTTCCCCAGTCTTCATCTCTCTCTGCCACACAACAACTTGAGCAGCTCTGACAGTCTTGTTTTTGTGGGAGCATTGTCACTGCACCAACGTGAGGCAGATGATCCCTGGGGCTGGGTGACTCACCTCGGCGCCAGTGCTGCTTGCATGAGCTGTGTGCCAGGAGTTGGGCTCTGCTGCATTAGCACAGCTTTGTACCTATAATTGGATATAAATGTTGAATTCACCTTTTGCTTTTAAAGGATGCATTCATGGCATAAAATGTGTTATTAAGAATAAGTGCTTATGTCTGTGTGCATGTGTATGTCAGTGAATTAGATGTAAACTGACTTTGTGTACTTTTATTAACTGAAGACAATATTATCAGTGACAAGAGATTTCTAAATGGTTTCTTTAACAAACTAATTTTGCTGCTGTAGGGATGCTTTCTAGCAAGGCGTTGCCTGGGAAAACCAGGTTAATACAGAAATTAAACTTCTTCAAGGAAAGGAGCAAGTTGCAGAGTAACATTTATTGACTGATAAGCTGTGGTGGTGATATGAAAAGTGTGCAATATAATGGGAAATAATCTTTTCCTGTCATTATTGAAGGACATACATAAATTGGTTTTTCTGTTGGGAAAACTCCCAATCCAGAAAAACTTATTACTTTTAATAATGTAAGGTGAAGAGAAAATTCTTGAGGAGATGAACTTATTAAGCAAAATAATGAAATGCTGTGAAACAGCAGGAAAGTGGTAGCTGGACTTTGTACTGCTCTTGAATTAAATTCCAAGCCCCCTTCCTTTTTGCGTTTTTATGGTAGTCAGATGTTCTGTTTGGAAAGCTGGTAAATGGAGGAGAAGACAGGCTTGTCTTTGTCAGCTTTTTTTTTTTTTTCAGAGAAAAGAGCTTTTAGACTTTGCTAAAAGGGGAAGGAATTCTGAATGATGTTTTTAATTCTCAACTTAATTTTACTTGGTTTTTGCCACGGATTACCTCGAAGAGCTGTAACATTTCTAGGAAGAAATCTAAAATTTGACTTTCATTAGAATTTCTCTTTCTGAGGGAAACCACATTCCAACTGTTTTAATTTATTATCTAGAAGATGCTTTTCCAGTTGCTGTGGTTTAAATTCCTTTTGGAAATCTAATGTTAAGAGATGGATGCATACACTCACATCTCTTTGTCCATCCACAAGACCACAGTCTTTGTGGTTTGGATTTATCAAGCTTTTCCTGCTGTTGTTCTTTTAATCTTATTCGAAATATGCCATTATCACAATGCTCTGGGGTGAGAGAGAAGGATTTATTCTGTGTTTGTTGGTCCTGAAATCACTGTATAAAGATTACCAAACACATTTAAAAACAGATACTTTTGGATTCTGCTATTTTATCCATAAGGTACAAAGAAATCCTCAATGCAATGAGGTTTCAGAAGCTTATATGTAAAAAGCAAACCAGTAATTCTTGCAGAAGGCAGAGGTTTATGGCAGAGGGAAACATAGGAAGAATTGCTGTGTTCCTCATATTGTTCTGATTTACTTTTTTTTTTTTTAATGCAGAAGCATTTTTTCCTAATTCTCCTTGTTTTCCAAGAGTTTAGTTAGCTGCTAAAGGCCAACATTTTAACTAATGCAGGTGTCAAAATTTTTGATAGCTGCGTATCACAAGCTGTGTCTCGGAACGAGGTGTGTTTAAATGGCACATGAAAGACTGGCATTAGGGGTATGTGCCAAGTCACCTCAGTGCTGGCTCTGCACAGCAGGTCCATCATGGGATTCAAGATGTGCTTTACCCCAAAGATGGGCTTTACTTGGCGTGTGTGCCTCTAGTACATGGCAGTTCACCTGACCAAATATGACAGATTTCTCACATCAAGTGACTGAAAGCGTATCCAGCGTGGGAGGGAAGTTGTGCAGTTCCTGTGATTTTTGATAAAGACAAACCTAATTTAATTCCCATTTGGAAAATTTTAGTCCAAATTAAACCTCTGATAGGTTTGAATGTACAGCCAAATTACATGTTACTCTGGTGCACAGGGTTTTTGTGAAGTACAGCCATCTCTCACTGCTGTCCACGAGTCAGCTGCCTCACATGCTTTAATTCAGCATCTTTAGTGTTATTGCACGTGTATTTGTTGTTATATATTTGGAATTAGATTGTGGCATGGGCAGTAGGTGATTGTGCAGATGTCCCAGGTCTGGGCTAAATCCCTTGGCCTGATATGTGCAGTAGGCAAAGTAGTCCCATTAGACCTCAAACTCAGCTCCTGAGAAAGTGCACAGGGTTCAGTAGTATTACTCCCTCAAAATGAAAATGTTATCTTTCACAGTGATGGCTGAGGCTTGATAGCTCTCAGTGCTAGAGCTTATCCTCTTTGCAGTCAGGTCCTTACTGGGTAGAGCTGTTACATACACCACAGACACTGTGAGACTGCAGGTGTACAAACACTGATTGCTCTTCCTGGTGTTGCTGATGAATGAAAATGAAAATGTGTATTGAACTTTTTTTTTTTTTTTTTCCCTGTATAAAGGTTGGATTTAAACCTGCCGGGGGCATTCGGACAGCCAAAGAAGCCATCACTTGGCTTATGCTGGTGAAGGAGGAGCTGGGAGTGGAATGGCTGACACCAGAGCTCTTTCGCCTGGGTGCCAGTAGTTTGCTGGGAGACATTGAGCAACAGGTTAGTTGTTGACAGCTTTCAACTTCTGGAGATAAAGTCAATCTTTCTAGATATGCTGGCTTGCTGACTTTGCAGAAGTAGAACGTACATCTGATTGATTATTAGTGACGTGTACTTCCAGCCCAGTATTTCTTTAAATATGGCCTGTCATCACAGACACCTGGGACTCTGATATTCCAGCAGCTGACCACTGTCTGTTTGCAATGCAGTGAGCAAAGACTTCCAGTTTGTACATGTATGGAGTCTTTTGCACTCCCAGCTGTTGCCAGTGCAGCTGACCCTCAAAATACCTCTCGGACCTTTTATGTCACCGTACCACAGCTGTTCACCATATATTTCCATGCTGTGGAGAAAGTTGCATCTCATCCAAATGCTGCTGATAGAGAAGCTTTTACATGTTGATTATTTCCTGAGAAAGAAGTTGCCAATGGGAAGAGGTGTTCTGACCTACCTACCCCTGACCTACATCACTAGCACAGGGTATCAACCCCGAAGGATGCAGCATAGCTGGGAACAGTGTAGTGTTGGAGGAACTACCAAAACATTAAGGCTTCTGAACTTCACTCCCATGTTCACTGAACCCAGAAGATAAGGTGATACCAGCTTTAACCAAGTAAAAGTTTGAGAGTCCTTGTGCCATTGATGCCGGGAAAACATGAGTTTTGAGGGAGGAGAAAAGCACCAGTCTGTTCCCTTTCCCCACCTTTCTAGCAACTGAAATACTGACATGTCTTTAGAAATATAGAACATCTGAGAGATGTCAGTTATATTCATGACTGTTGAAAACTCACTCCTGCAATGAGGATAATATTGGCTTGCTTCATTGCCAGACCTCCTCTGCCTCACTCTTGACCTAAAATTATGTTCCTGGTTATGACAAAGCAGCATGAGCTTTCTTGTTGCCACTGCCATTGCTGCTGAGTCTTAGGACACAGCCAGTGATTGTGTCACACGATTTCTTCTGATTTCTTAAGGGTTGTATCCTTTTATATGCCAGGGATTGCATGAATGCACCAGTTGTGACCAAAGCTCTGCTATACTATGCCATCTAAAAACATGGAAGATAATTCATGTTTGTTTTATATTCAATAAAACAAACACTGAAATCATCAAAATCAGGTGACAGATAAAAGCATTGGGTTCTGCCTGGCTCTTTTTGAAAAGCAATAAGAATCTTTCCTTTTTACCTTTTTTTTCCAAATACAGCAGCAAGAGCTGCTATAGTTCATATTCTACAAACAAATATATAAAGGTATATTACATCATATTTTATGCACACACACAAACAAATATCTATCATCTTCATCTGGCATGCCTTTAATTTGTTACTTCCTTGACACTTTCAGTTTTATAGTCATATATAATTCCATCATAAATTTTCCTTTTTTTCTTGCAGATTTTCTATCATGTGACTGGCTCTTATCCACTTCAGCATGAACTGGCAATGGCTTAGGCACAAAATCAGCTCAGGATTACTTTTACAAAAGAGGTCTTTAAGCAAACAGCATTGAGAAGTCTTCTGACAACCAAGTGCATATGATGGAATGAAAGGCCTAATTCTCCCTTCTTCATATTTTATAGTATTTAAAAATATGCTCAAGTCTGGTGGTTGTACTTGATCCAAAAGCAGGAAAAAAAATGGTATTTCTGAAATAGTTAAATAGTTAATACTTACAGATTTGCAAAGTTAATCTTCCAAAGTTCCTCAGACCAGGCTGAAAAAGCTTATTAATGGCAACACTGAAATACTATGAAAGAGATTTAGGTGGCCTGGTAACACTTTGCAGTCACAGAATATGAAGTATCTATGGAATGTTTCAGATTGCTAATTAAGAGCTACTGATCTTGAAATAGATTTCCATTCACCTCAGACAAAATCTTCTGGCACAAATGTGTTGCACTATTAATTGTTATGTTGATTCAGTTTCAAGCATTATAACTGGAAAAAAGAATGAAACTTGGCTAATACTGTCTTTTATAAAATGTCTTCTGTATCAAAAAAACCCACCTCTTTTTTATTTTTTGTATTTTTCCCCTCAAACTTGGGCACAGACATCCATATTTAGACCCTTGAATAAAAGTGGCTTGATTTCTAGAGCAGCTGAGTATCCACAGTTGCTCCTGAAGTTAATGGGAGCTCTGGGTGATCAGAACAACTGAAAATCAAGCAGTCTCTATATAGGTGCCTAACTATGCATTCAGGGGCCTATTTTTAGCCATTTCACTCTTAAAATTTTAGTCTAACTTGCTTAGAAGCTCCCATTCCTGTCTCCTGTCATTTTAAAACACATTCATGCAAATCTTTCCATTTTAATGTAGGGGGGTTTGACTGTCAGTTTGCAGGTGTCACTGCTGGCTAAACTTCAGCTTTGCCAGTCTAAAAGCAATTCTTTAATTTAAAAGGTGAATTGAATTGTGTCCTATATGGGGTTTAATGCTTTAATGTAAAAAGAAATGTACTTTTCTCAGAGCACATTAAGAATAATACTGAAATCATCAACACCTTTTGAACATCAGACTGGAGCTGGTGGATTCATTATATCAGGACTGCATTCTGCTCACTAACCAGAGTTGTACTAAAAACTTAATTATCTTATCGTCATGACTAGTCTCACTGACTTAAGTAGGTCTCATCATGGAAGTAAGAGTAGGAGGATTTTGCTGTAAATCAAGGTACAAGGTACATTTATTACAAAGAGATTTATTATAAAGAAATAACTCGGTTATTTATCTGGTTATGCCACCTGAATCACTAGTGTGCTACAAACCACCTTGGACAGATAGGAAAGCTGATTAGGGAAAAAAATCAGAGAAACAATATATAGAGAAAACAAAATCCTATATGCAATGCTCAGTACTAAAAATGGGCCTTAATTTCTCAGGAAGTAGTTCATCCGAGGCTCTCTGTCTTTTTCTGCTTTAGGTCTCTTCACAGAAAATGAGGCTGAGCTGTAACACTACTTTCATGTTTATTTTCCTGAAAAGTGGCCCTTTTTGCCATGGGTTTTCCTTCTGAGTGCACTGTCAGTCTCTTCAAGGAAAAATCCAGTGCCTGTTTGCATACTGAGAGGAAGATTCTGCTGCTCAGCTTTAAGAAATGCAGAGCCTGTTATTTGAGGTCAGGTCCCACCGGGTGCTTGCCAGGCTGACCCTCTGCCGTGCCCTCCCAGCAGCCACACACTGGATTTTGCTGCTGTTTAGCTGTATAAATGTTGGTGTGTGTTTCCATAGTCTCATATTAGAAAGTCATACTACTTACAAAGTATCCTGTTTTGTTGTTGGTTGACTTTTGGACATTTAGGGTGAAGACAGAAGATGCAAACTGTTTTCGGAGATGCTTTAGTTTCCAGGTGAAGGACTCTGTGTAGTTCCTTAAGATTAACAGAGGTCCAGCTTTGCCACCTCACTGGGTAAGGTGAGTCTCACCTCTGGGAACAACCTTATTGTCTCCACAGAAACTGTGTCGATTAGTGAAATTGCCCAGGAGGAATTCTGTGGAATCAGCCCCCCTTTGTTCTGATGTGCACATGGGCTGTTGCTGGTTACTTCACTTCAAAGGTTTGGCTTCCTGAGAAGTCAAAGAGAGCTGCTTCCCTTTTCCATGAACATTATAAACACACTGATGTTAAATACTGTGCAACTCCAGGCCAACCAGTGTTTTGGGAGAAGCTGGCTTGGAAAGTAATTTTATACATTTTTTTTCTGTTCAAACCTGTAATACTTTTTTGGAAAAAAAAGAAAAAAAGTAACAGACTCTGTAAACACATCCAAATAAAGATGATTCTGGTTTGGGAGTGGTTTTTTTTCAAGGAATAAGCAGAAGGCTCATTGTTTCAGAGCAACTGGTTGTCTTTGTTAACTCCTTGGTGACACAAGTGAGTTATATTCAGCCTGTGTCTGTTCCCCCAACATGACCCAGAGCCTTGTCTCTCACTCCTCCTCCTACAGAAGCTGCTGGTACCAGCCAGGTATTGGTCTGTTGACAGCCCTAAGCGATGTGAGGGCTTGAACCTGGGCCAAGGATCCCTTCAGGAGCAGCCGGAAACTGGCCTGGAGACAGACAACAAGGCACGTCCAGGGGCCCATCCAGGAGAGTTAACCAACAGCACAGGTCCAAGGTCCATTGCACAGGCAGGGCTGGAGACCAGCTGAGCTGGAGTGGGGCTCCTGGGCCCTGCTGTGCTTGCAAGAAGGCTGGGCAGAGCCACAAGCATCACTGGGCTTAAGCCAGTACTGAGCCTGTGAGAGAGCCAAACACAGGGGGGTGCAGGGACTGACATGTTCTGAGCTCAGGTCAGAGGCCGGCATCCCCAGGGTCCAGTTCTTGGTCCCCAGTTCCAGTTCCCCAATCCCTGTCCCCTCGTCCCCAGTCCCTGGTCCCCCAAGTCCCCAGTTTCTTGTCCTCAGTCCCAGGTCCCCAAACCCCAACCCTGGTCTCCTGCATCCAGGGACACCCCTAACCCTGGACCTCCTGCTCCGGGTGGACCAGTGAGGGGGCAGTTTGGGGTGAAGGTGGCACTCAGCACCATCCCCCTGTCCCCTCTCCGGGGCCAGCAGGGTGCAGACCCTGCTGGGGCAGGGGACACACATGTCCCCTGGCACAGGGACCATGGGGGGATGCTCAGGCCCCGCACAGGTCCCAGTCTTTGGGGGGTCCTGTACCCCAAAGGTCTCTCCCATCCTGGAGAAGGGATGGGTCCCGTAACTCAGGATCCCTGTCCCTGGGGGGCAATCCCCCATCCCAAAGGGCGTGGCAGGATCTGCATCCCCACCCACAGGGAGCTGGGAGTGCTCACGGTGGGGTCTCCTAGGCTTGCTGCCCTTCGCCTGCCTGGCCCTTCCACTGCCCCTCTCCTCCCTCTTTCCCAGATGTTTCCTGATGACCGTTTGCTGCTCTTTAGTTCCCGTGGTCAGCTGAGGTTTCTCGGGGCTGCTGCAGCTGGTTGTCAGCCCTGTAGGCAGCACGTGAAAGGCAGAGGGCCTGAGCTCAGCTGGGAGCTGTGGAGGGGGCGGCGCTCCGTTGCTGCACAGACTTTGGGAAAAGTTCAGATTTAGCACTGTGCTTCAGGCCATTAGAAAAGGAACAGGCAATTATGCACTCAACGTCTAAATATATTTCAGAGTATAACATATGTTTTGTGCAAGTCAGTCTTGTATACTAATTTATTATTTTTATAACACTTATTCATTTAGGATTTTAAATAGCTTCATTTTGTAGACGGCATTACTTTGAAAAGAAGAGAATAAATTCAAGAAGAAAGTCAAGTAGAAACTGCAAATCTAGAATATTCTGCATCAGCTTATTTACAAGGAGAGGGAATTGGGAGTGAGGGTAAGCTTTTTTCCTGGTTTGTAGGAAACAAAGATATTAAATAGTAATTATATGTGAAGTGCACATAGCAGCTGGGACAAGTAATACTTTGATATCTTTATTTCATCAGTCATATAAGTTCATTTTTTCATTTCCTTTGTGAAGCAGGGAACATACATTATATACCATAGCACATGCCACTGAGACAAAAAAACCTGATCTACTTTTAATTTTATTTTGCTCAGTTGGAACTTTGGCTTCCTGCCTCTCTGGGGGTGAAAAGCCCCACAAACAACAACAGCAAGTTTTATCCAAATCTTGGTGAGCTTTGCTGAAATTACCAGTGCTGATAGCTGCATGTTATGTATCGTGTGGGGTAGGGAGTAGAAGGAGAGAACTGCTTTTAATTAGATGTAACCTGCCCAGGAGAGAAAGAAAATCGTCCATCTGGTCAGTCCTTATTTAACAGGGCAACCAAAGAGAAGAGTATTCTTAATTTGCAAAGACACCATCGATAAAATGACCATTAGACTGTTTTTATTACAAATCCCAGAAAACCAGAATTGTGCTAAATTAAGGCACTGCAATGTGTAGAGATGATGATGATTTCCACCTTTAAGCACGATCAAAGCTTTCAGCTTTGGTCTCCATCTTTGCAAAGGGCCTGTCCGGCCTCAAGAAGAGATGACTGAGAGGAGATCTCCTCCATGTACTTCAGTATCTGAAGGGAAGATTTCAAGAGGATGGAACCAGGCTCTTCTAAGACTTAGAAAGGGGCATCAAGAAAGCTTGCAATCCTTCCACTCCTTAAAAGCAAGAGTGAGCAAATGTTCAGATCCCAACCAGATCTGTTATAGAGACCTTTCCTCTCTTTTAAGCACTTGACAGATCCTTCCCACTCCAAGAGGACCTACAGTAATCACTTACCAAGAGAAAGTTTAATATCCTGTAATGAAATTTAACATTGATGCAATGAAGACATACCAACAAGGTGCTCTAGCCATTCCTAATGAGTCTAGTGACTTTCAGTGTCTCTGTTTTAAGCTCTGGGGACATCTTGTGGATTGCTAATTCTTGGAAATTGCAGAAAATACGGTCTGAAAGCAAAGCTTTCTTGAGACATAAAAGTTTCAGATCTCTTCAGATCACAGGGAGTGTTTGAAAACACTGACTTGTAAAAGCATAAATCTAAAATTGCTTCTTTAGCTGAGATAAAAACAAAGGGCTTTTTAAAGAATGTTAACAAACTGAGGAAGCCATACTGGAGTTGACTACACTTGTTTTCTTCAAGTCTTGCTTTCTGTGTGGGGGGAATAGAGTAATCCCAGAATCACAGGATGGATAAGGTTGGAAGGGACCACAGTGGGTCATCTGGTGCAACCTTCCTACTGAAGCTGGGTCATCCCAGAGCACATGGCCCAGGATTGCATCTAGATGGTCCTTGAATATCTCCAGTGAGGGAGATTCCATAACTTCTCTGGGCAGTCTGTTCCAGTGCATGGTCACCCACATAGGAAAGTTCTTCCTCATGTTCAGGTGGAACTTCCTTTGCATCAGGAATCCTGTGCATCAGTTTCTGCCCATTTTCTCTTGTCCTTGTTTGGCACCACTGAGCAGAGCCTGGCTCCATCCTCTTGACACTCTCCCTTGGGATACTGATGGGCATTAATGAGATCCCCTCTCAGTCATCTCTTCTTGTGGCTGAACAGGCCCTTTGCATACTCAGCTGGTGGAGATCAGTGTCATCTCTATATAGTGCAGTGTCCTATAAAACCAAACCTTAAAGTGCCTGGAAAAATGAGGGAGTGCATCATAAGCTGATTCTTTTCATTTCAATAATAGCATGTGCTCTCTTTTTATTGAAAGGCTTAGATGAATTCTCACCTATTTACTAGGTGAGACAAGTGAACCAGCCAACCAGTTCCCTTCCTACATCTGGGTTGAGCCAGTGTCAAGGCTGGTTTGGTAATCCCATGGGTTAGGGGTCTGTCTCAACCTGGAGAGCAAGAGAGTGGAGGAGCCTGGAAAGCTTTACCAATGAGCCTACCAGCTGCATGAACCAGCCTGTGCTCTCACTGCCTGAGAGGTTGCCTGGGGCTGGAAGGTGCTAAAACTCTCTGTAGTGATTTCTGGTCCATCGAGAACTCTTTTTTTTCCCTACCCTAATGCTCAGACCTGAGCAACCAGCTTCTTAGGAGAAGCTGAAGAATGCATATGCTCCATGATTTAATTTAATTACATGTAAGATGATTAAGGATGTTATCTTCATTTCCAAGGGAAATGAAACATTCAGCCAGCATCATGTCAGAAGTCTGGCTGAAGGCTGGCACGTCTCAGCACTGGCTGCTTTCTGCTGCCTTCAGCAGAGTCTGGGGCTTTCTTCAAAGTACAGGCACCGGCTGACCCAGAGCGTGATTTCTTGCTCTGACTTATTTAAAGGCATGAATTGAAACAGAGCAAAGAACGACTATCTGGGCTCTGAACAAGAAGTGCTTTGTGTTCTAGTTAGCATGTATCTGTCCAATTCAAAAAAAAACCCCCATGAAATCCTTCACCCCATCTGATAGCAGCTGTAATGAGGCCTCTGGGAGGGCGGTGATGGGAAGATGTAGATAAAGGAAAAACAGAGGGGTAAAAAGAGAAGTTGTGAGAAGTAAGAGAGATCATCACCACTGCTGTTATTGCTTCACAGAAGTGTAATCTTTTGTGATCTCTTTGGAACAGGAGGTAAATAATAAAACACAAGGGAGGGGAAAAAAATAAAATAAATGTAGCGTTGTGAGTGCATGTTAAAACAGATGTCAGATTAAAAATAACTGAAAAGGAAATTCTACTGTAGGGGAAAAACTGCTTTTTCCTTCAACATTTTATATTCCACCTTCATTAGGCGAAAAGTGAAAGAGCTGTAAAGGAAAGGAACTTTTGTTGTTTCCCTCTGAATGTTAAGAAAAGCCTAATGCAAGCGCAGAGGGGTTGCTCTGTGGCACATGGAGCTGGAGCAATTCTCAGGCTGAAGCCCAGAAACCATAAGGATGTTAAATAGATGCTGTGTGTGCTGAGCCCTGGGACTTGGAGCTTTAAACCTGCAGTACTGCACATTCAGGTGGTTTCATCCTCTGCATCCTCCCTCCCTTGGTCCCTTCAGGGTTGACGAGTCCTCTAATGTTGTAAAAAAATAAACCCGGCAATCTGGTAGGATCACATCATCCAGTAATGCCCCTCTAACTATAGATCTATGCACCAGGGACTTCCTTCTAGTTCCTTCAGCACTTTTAAAGGGGTTGTTTTAGTGTTTGATGACAGCAGAGCGGGGAACATCTACACAAACCCATATTTTTCCCCACATGGCGGCCAGACCACACCCCTCCTTGGAGATGGCAAGTACTCACAAAAATACCTGTTCCAGTCTGTAAAATAGTGTCATCCCAGGTCTCTTCGACTAAATGTTCTTCAGGATGGCTCCTAAAAACTCGTGATCT